AATAAACAAAAATGTTAAATGTACGACATTTGACTAGCAGTGGTTTGATTTCTAATTTTGCTTTTAAAATTGAACTATATGAAGGTTCTTTGAGAAAATCATTGTGTTTACTCCTTACTAGTTTTCTAACCCGTGCAAACAGTATTTTGAGTCAGTAAAAAAAATAAAAAATAAATTTTTAGTGCATATAAAGACAACACAACGAAATTGTATTCAATATAAATATTAAAAGTACTATATACTAATATTGAGGCATGTATAATGAAGACAAAAAATGAAATTAAAGGTTTTGAAATACTTCCTTGTACATTATATTTCTAAATCAAGTTAAAATAAATGTTGAACAAAAATAGCGTACAATAACATAATCAATTAAAATGTCAAGTCAAACACAAAACTTGAGGATGAGATGTGATTTGAAAATAACCCTAGAAAAGCAGTGTTTCTTTAATGAAAACAGGTCCAAAGCATTCAACATTATCAAAGTCCCATCACACGCTTCTCAGTGTAAAGTCATATCATGCTTTTACCATTTTCTCATAAACTATTACACTTTTTCACAAGTACTTATTTAAATTATTACATTTTCCCATGAACTTTTAATCTTTCCCATAAACTTTTATACTTTCCCGTAAAGTATTTATTTAAGTTACACTTTTCCATAAACTTTAACTCTTTCCCATAAATTTTTACACTTTCCCATAAAATATTTATTTAAGTTACAATTTTCCATAAACTTTAACTCTTTCTCATAAATTTTTATACTTCCTCATAAAGTATTTTTTTAAGTTACACTTTTCCATAAACTTTAACTCTTTCTCAAAAATTTTTACACTTTTCCATAAAGTAATGATGTCTTTACATTGGAATACGTGAAAAGAGTAGTCAAGCCGTCAAATTTCGTCTCCCAATAATAGGCGTGCCTCTTAAGTGCATTAAATGCATTTACTATTTACCATAAACTGTTACACTTTCCCATGAGTATTTATATAAATTATTACACTTTCCCATAAACTTTTAATCTTTCCCATAAACTTTTACACTTTCCCATAAAGTATTTATTTAAGTTACACTTTTTCATAAACTTTAACTCTTTCTCATAAACTTTTACACTTTGCCATAAAGTATTTATTTAAGTTACACTTTTCCATAAACTTTTACTCTTTCTCAAAACCTTTTACACTGTAATACGTGAAAAGAGTGGTAAAAAAGTAATGATGTCTTTACATTGGAATACGTGAAAAGAGTGGCCTAGCCCTCAAATTTCGTCTCCGAATAGGCGTGCCTCTTAAATGCATTAAATGCATTGTACTTTTGGTTCGTGGCTCAAGTCTTTTTCACTAACCAATAAAGTGAAAATTTACTTTTTCACTCTTTTCTATGATAGGACTTTTCGAATCACTCATGCCCATCCATACGCGATTACCCATATCATTTGCCAGCACTTCGGACCCATCCATACCCGTGTAGATTTGGGCGGGAAAGGTCACTATTCATTTTCTCACTCTGTCTTTGTATATTAGAAGATTTGCATTTTTTATATTTGTGTTGTATAAATTTGTTGTTGGGAAAGCAAGAACACAAATGAATGGGTAGTGCCCAAGATCAACACCTTTCCCCCTTGAATGAATCTGTGAGGAGCAACAAACAAACGTACACCAAAGAACACCAAGCAACAAGATAATCCAAATATGAAAAATAAAACGATATGAGACACTGGATTTTAACGTGGAAAATCCTTTCAATGTGAAAGAGTAAAAAACCACGAGACCCTTCGGTCCAACCAACTCCGTTACCACCAAATTCAGAGTACAAATGCACAATATAACAACACCACAATGATATCTAGCCCTTAACAACACTACGAAGGCACTAGAATCAAAATAGAGGAACAAAAGTGCAAGAAATCACCAAAAAAATTGCAACTGGTGCAAAGCTCATAACTTGAGATTGAACTGTTGAAATTCGATCTCTACCGTTCAGATTGAAGCTCCACAAGTCCTTAGACTCCTCCTAAAATTTCAGCTCGATCGGACAAGATTTGAACCTCTGATTGACAAAAAACCAGACCTGCGTTTTGAAGAAAAAAGGCAGCAGAAATCCTTCTCTCTTGCGGCTGTTTTTCTCCTTTCTTTTTGAGCGTGAATGTCAATCCAACCAGCTGTACCCTCTATAATTAATTAAGACCTTTAATGTGCCATCAAAAGTGGACTAAAAATTGGGTTTGAGTATTACACTCCAAATGGGCTTTTAAAACAAATAGTTGGGAGCCCAAACCCAACAAATCTCCCCCCTCCCGACTATGTGGAGGTGGTTGCCAAACCGGCAATCAAACAACAAGTTTCAAACTTCCCCTTTGGCAAAGCCTTAGTCATCATATCAGAGCCATTATCATCTGTGTGAATCTTTTCAAACTCCAATAACTTGAGATCAAGCACATCTCGAATCCAATGATAACGTACATCAATATGTTTAGATTTGCCATGGAAAGTAGGATTTTTGCTAAGATGTATAGCACTCTGACTGTCACAATATAAAACATACCTCTTCTAAATAACACCAAGTTCACGAAGATATTTCTTCATCCAAAGCAGCTCTTTACAAGCTTCTATAGCTGTAATGAACTCGGCCTCTGTTGTGGACAACAAAACACATTTCTGAAGCTTAGATTGCCATGAAACAGCTCCCCCTGCAAAGGTAACCAAATAACCAGATGTAGACTTCCTGGTATCAATATCTCCAGCCATATCAGAATTAGTGTAAACATTCAAAACAGGTTTTCCAGTTCCAAAACAAAGTTTCAAACATGATGTGCCTCAGAGATATCTCATAATCCACTTCACTGCATTCCAATGCTCCTTGCCTAGATTAAAAAGGAAGCGGCTAACTATACCAACTGCATGCGCTAGACCTGGCCTTGTGCAAACCATTGCGTACATCAAACTTCCTACTGCAGATGCATAAGGAATACGTCGCATATCTGCCTTCTCAGCATCATTAGATGGGGACTGTCTAGAGCTAAGCTTAAAGTGTGTAGCAAGAGGTGTGCTAACCACTTTAGCTTTTTCCATATGAAATCGCTGAAGCACCTTTTCAATGTACTTCTCCTGAGACAACCATAACTTTCTTTCCTCTCTGTCACGTGCAATCTGCATGCCAAGAATCTGTTTTGCTGGTCCCAAGTCCTTCATCACAAAGGACTTACTAAGCTCTGTTTTCAACTCTTCAATTCTCGAAGAATTATGACCAACAATAAGCATATCATCAACATAAAGCTCTGTTTGGGTATGGGCGATCTTAGGTGTTGAGTATGTACGTACATAAGGTCCTAGAACTGGTCAGGCAACTGGGGATCACTCAACCCGTGTCTTTGGAACCAGAAGAGTATTTATACCCATATTGGGAAAGACCACAAAATAAATTCTGAACCTGAAGAGAAGGGCACTCGGACCTAGACATAGACATGGGAGATCTTATTGAGTTGTTCTCGACGGGGAATGACTCCAGGTGAAGGCGAGGAAATAATGGATTAAAATTAAGGAGATATAATAGACTCTTACTCTTACTTGATAAAAATGGAAATATGGATTTTTTTTAAAATAATGGTTTTACTATGTGAATCCATATTTTGGATTATTCTATAAAATCTACGTTGTGGTACCACTTAGTGGTTTCGTTGAGCGTACAGTTTCCTTTGTTGTGTGACTGTGCGTCGCTAAAAAGAAATAAGATGAAAATGATCTCGGTGCACAATTAGATGGAAGAGGCGACAGCACGGTGTGGACTTTCACCGTTTATTAAGTTTTTTAATAAATTGAATAAATTAGGGGCTTGAACCCTAATATGTAATCGTTTAAACTTTTATTTGCTTCTGAACTATTTTTATTTATCACTTCGTTATTTTAAAAATGCTTTGGATATTGTGATGATCCTATTTCACAGGATTTATATTATTAATAAAAATGTGTTTTCTATAAATCATGGTTGCTACTTTACCAATTACTAACATTTCGGTACGTTAGCTCATCTTAATTGGGTTACGCGAATTGAGGTGTTATAGTTGTTTTATGAAAATTATTTAAGTTTTTGTAAACAGAGTTCAAATTAAGGTATATTCAAATGTATAAAACAATATATTTGAATGTAATGTTTATCCCTAGCGTCCTTTGTAAAATTGTCTGATGCATTGGAGTGTTTGAATGTTTCACGATAAGTTGCAACGGTTTGCACAAACTGTAGAAATGATCATTTGTTTTTTAACCGCCATAAACATTTGAAAGTGTTAATACTAATATTTGTATGTCACACGAAATTTGTTTTGTTTCATCAACCAACACATCCTTTAGGAAGTTTCTTATAAATCGAAGGCCCATCATGGTATGTTTGGAGACCTTGGAATTTCCGTACTCGTTCTAGATTACTTACGTCTAATCCAATTGAAATATTTTGGTATACTCTGAAAAAAAATTTATAAGTGATTTTTTAAATCTAGCATATATTGATTTTCTAACGTTGCTTCGAAGCATTATTCTCCCCCCTAATTTCCAACAGGGGAGTGGTAATTCAAATGAGTGACTTACTTAATATTGTTTTTTATAAATGTAAATTAGTTTATTTTAGGTGATTGATTTTAAAGCTCTTTTGAGTGGTTCTTACTATTCTTTACCTTAATGTTTTTTTTGAATCGTCAGGGCATTAAACGTAGTTGTGACTGGTGACTTATGTACTATTCAATATTCATTATTCTACAAATAAAAACTAAATTTAGACAAATATTTTTGTTGTATATAAATCTTTAAATAAAAATCTTAAAACAGAGGTTCTCGAACTTAAACTGGACCGATCGATTCCAAAACTGACATTGTTACTGCTGGCCACCGGTGACGGGTGGCAATACCAGAATTGCCGGTTTCAAAACCAAAACTGTATTGTGTCCAGATCTAGGAGGGAGCCACGGAGAAATAGAGCGAGAAGCTAGTAAATAAACAGGTGGATATTGAATTTGATGACAACTTTTATTTTCATTAATACATGCTCTAATCTACAAACAAAATGTTGTCAAGTTCCGTTAAGGACTTCCAATTCTATTTATAGTTAGTTCTCTTATCTATTCTGGGGGAGTCATTGATTCCCCTTTATAACATTCTCTGATATTTACGTGTACCGCATCATGCATCACTTCATCTCCATTGTTGATCACCTCACAACATTGCCGTCGTGGAGCCTGCAAATTAATTAAAATGCTTTTTTTCTTTAACCTTATAAATAGTAAATATACGTCGCCAGTTATGCATAAACTAAATGCAAACGTTTTCTTACGTTGGTCACTAACTCTAGTCCATCACAAAAATTATTACTAGTAGTGAGTCAGTAATTGTCACCAAGGAGAGGGTAATTAATACTTACTCTGTCTAAAAAAGAATGTTACATTACGTAAAACGAAGCGAAATTCCAAAATTTTCGATTTATTTATTTATAGATTAGTATAGAAATAAAAAAATTTATATATTTTAAAATTAAATTTAGAGTTCTACATAACAAGAGATGAAAAAAATTATTATATCGAATAATCAATAAAAGCATACAAAGAAGCAGAGAGTTCTTGTAATTTTTAAATACTAAACTGTTTCATTTTTTTACATGAAATAAGTAAGAAGGAATCTAAAACCAAGAATTACAAAGATACATAGACATCAATTCCCTATACATATATATATATATAGACACACACACATAAACTAAACAAATAATTTAAGCTAGAATAATACCCAAAAAGGGGAAAATGTTGTACTTCATTTTGAAATGCATATTTGCGTTGGTAGATGGAAGAGAGCGTGGAAAGCTCAATTTGCAGTTTAGTTTTGGCCTTTCGGGTAAGGTTGGAGAGGGAGGTGCTGTAAAACTAAGAAATTGTAGCACCATTATTGGAGATGCTCTAATAAATATACCTTATTATATTACACTTTCTTTAGAGAAAAGGAGGGAGTACATGGTATTTGGCGTTTGTACTCTCCGGCGTGCGTAGGATTGTCCGACGCCGTATCCCTTTTGTTTTCTTCGATCGGTTCTCGAATTTGGATCCGAGATTAGGGTTTTCGCACCCCATCGTCGACAACGGAATTGCTATTCCCCAATTCGTCAGCAACTTGGTGCTGAAATGTGTGCCGATGGAAATATAAATCCACAAAGCTGCTGCCAATGATTAACCAGTAAGTTGCAGCGATTGTCCACCAAGTTGCTGCCAATATTTGTGCCAATAATTGTGCCATTCGTATATGTTTTTGATTGAATTGCAGCTGGCAATAATTAATATTCTTGGTGCACAATTGTTGTCAGTTAGTTATTTGTTCTCCATGATTAACTCAACACCCTCTTCGTCGGATACGGTACGTCTCTAATTGTGCCCTGTGAGTGGCTCGTGGATAGTGATGCCATGCATCTCATCGTATGACAGAGGTGCTTTCGCGTTTGATTGACATAGTGCAGAGGCCTCCGTGTACTATAAGCTTGCCCGATAGGGCTCATGTGATGGCAAATTCTTGTGGCTGGGTGCAAGTGTCTCCTTCTTTAATTTTACACAATGTTCTTTATGTTCCTAATTTGAAGTACAATTTGATATCAGTGAGTCGTCTTGTCAACTCACATAACTGTCATGTTTTCTTTGATGATCATTCTTGTGTGATACATGACCGAACTACGAAGACGCGGATTGGTCAATGTGAAGCACGCAACGGGGTCTATGTCTTTTCTTCTCAAGCCCATGCGTCCAAAGCCGAGTCTATTTCCTTATTGCACCAACCTCTTGGTTATCCGTCTCCTCAAGTTTTGTCTCTACCTCCATTTAATAAGAGTAATACTGAAATTAAAAATTTTCAGTCTTGTGATATTTGTTTCTTTTCCAAACAGACACATTCCCAATTTTCCCCTAGTCTAAATAAAGCAGATGCATTGTTTGATCTTATTCATTGTGATTTATGGGGACTATATTATGCTAGCATATCCACTGGGGCTCATTACTTTCTCGCCATTGTTGATGACTATTCTCGAGCTGTTTGGGTATTTCTTATTATGTACAAAACTGAGGTTACTAATTGTTTGAAACAATTTTTTACCATGATTCGAACTCTGTTTGGTAAAATAATTAAGGTTGTGCGCTCAGATAATGGTACTGAGTTTCTCAATAAACCCTTTCGTATGTTTCATAATGATATGGGTGTTCTGATTCAAACTTTTTGTGTTAATACCCCACAACAAAATGGTTGGGTCGAGCGTAAACATCGTCATATCCTTAATGGTTGGGGGGAGTGTGTACGTACAATGGTATATCTCATAAACCGTACTCCAACTCCTCTTTTGCAAGGTAAATCTCCATATGAACTCCTTTCTTCAAAACCTCCAGACTTGTCTCATCTTCGGGTATTTGGGTGTTTGTGTTTTGTTCGTCACCTACAACGTCCACCTAATAAATTTCATCCACGTAGTGCCAAAAGTATGTTTGTGGGATATCCTACGGGGACTAAGGGTTGGCATGTTTATGATCTTGAGTCTCACCGTTTCTTTCATACTCGGGATATTTCTTTTGAAGAAACCACTTTTCCGTTTGATATCTCTAATCCTTCACGTGTCCCACCCGACTCTTCCCCGCAGAATGAGCACGCTGATTTTCCAGAGCCCCCTACTGTCATTCCTCCCGATGTGACCACTGCCGTCACGACCAACCCACCCACCCCGTCACAAACGTCCAGGCCTCCCGAGTCTAGCGTCTCCGGCAGTCCCCCACCTCCTCTGATAGCAACGATTAGACTGCCCCGAACAGTCCGCAGTCGCTCCCTCGTCATGTTTGTGAACGTCGTCCTCGTGCACATTTATCCGCCTATTACGGTCACACAGCTCGGACATTGACTCATGTTGCTCCCTCCATTACCTCTTCTCGTTCTTCAGGTACTCGGTATTCTATCCATAACTTTGTTCATTATGAGAAATTGCATGACAGGTACCGTGGATATCTTGTTGTCGTTTCCTCCCATGAGGTACCCAAGACTTTCAAGCAAGCTATGCAGCATGCGAATTGGCGCTTAGCTATGCAACAGGAGATTGCTGCCTTGGAGAATAATCATACATGGGACATCACAGATCTTCCACCTGGGAGGACGGCTTTGGGATGTCAATGGGTCTACCGTACCAAGTTTCATTCAGATTGCACGAAGGAGCGTGATATAGCTCGACTTGTTGTTTTGGGGAATCACCAGGAGTTCGGTATGGATTATACGGACACTTTTGCTCCTGTCGCCAAAATGGGAACGATACGTATTCTCTTATTTGTTGTTGTGGCTCGGGGCTAGGAGATACATCAACCGGATGTTAATAATGCTTTCTTGAATGGTGGTTTAATTGAGGAAGTTTACATGCGTATACCACCTGGTTTTTCTGTTCCAAGAAAAGTATGTCGTCTTCGCAAATATTTATATGGTTTGCGTTAGTCTCCTCGGAACTAGTTTCATAAGCTTAGCACTGCTCTTTGTCACTTGGGTTTTAAGCAGGCTCATAAGCATCATACTTTATTTATTCTCAGGTGTGGCCCTAATCTTCTCACTGTTTTAGTATATGTGGATGACATCTTGGTTGCAGGCAATAATTCTTCCATGTGTGCTTCTTTTAAAGGATACTTGGATCAGTGTTTTTAGCTTAAGGACTTAGGACCCGTCAAATATTTTTTGGGTATTGAATGTGCTCGTTCTCCTACCGGTATGGTCCTAAGTCAACACAAGTATGCTTTGGAGATTCTACAAGAAGCGGGGTTGTTAGGTTGTAAACCCGTCGGGACTCCACTACCGACGACGCACGACCTGAGTAGGTCCACTGCCCCTCTTCTTCACGACCTAGCTCGGTATCGTCGACTCATCGGGCGCTTGATCTATTTGACTATCACCCTCCCGGATATTTGTTACTCTGTTCATGTCCTCTCACAGTTTATGCAGGCACCTACTCGCGATCACATGAATGCAGCCATGCGAGTCCTCTGGTACATCAAAGGTCACCCAGGTCAGGGCATTTTTTTAGTGCTACCAGTAATCTCCAGATTTCAGCGTAATGTGACTGTGACTCGGTGAGTTGCCCACTATCTCGCCGCTCGATTAGCGGGTATTTTATCATGCTGGGTACCTCTCCTGTGTCTTGGAAAATAAAGAAGCAGACCACTGTTGCCAGATCATCTGCAGAGGCCGAGTACAGGGCCATGGCTAATGCCTGCGTCGAAGTGAGGTGGATGCATGGTATTCTTGGAGCTTTGGGGTTCCTATTTTATATACTCCACGGTTATATTGCGACAACCAGTTTGCATTATACATTGCGCCTAATCCAGTGTTTCATGAACGTATGAAACATGTTGATGTATTGTCATACGGTGCGCGAGAGTGTTCAACGATACAAGGTGTGAACGAGATATGTTCGCACTCGGTATCAATTAGCGGATATTTTTACTAAACCATTGACAAAACCCGTTTTTGATTTTTTATTGTGCAAGTTGGGCATTCAGGATCTTTATGCGCCAACTTGAGGGGGAGCGTTAGCGGGTATTTTTATTAATGACGTAGATTAGTAATTTGGGCCCACTACTTAAGCCCGATTGTATGTTTGTATATATACGGTGATGATTAATTAGAAACACAGATCAGTTTCCGCTAAAATTTTACATAGCCCTACTAATTCTTTACCTAACTCTCACATTACATCTATTCACTATTAATCTATCATCACATCCAAAGACATTTTTTAAAATTCAACACCAAAATACACACTTCATAAATCCCTTAAAAATCAAAACCTTTCATATTTTTAGGGAGGGAGTGAGTAAAATATTTTGGGGATAAAATATTCCCTATTTCGCCCCAAAAAAAACTTAACAAAACAATTGATGGATCCTGATCTAAAAGAATTGAGGTAAAATATTTACGAAGTATTTTAGCTCCAAATTCGTAATCACCCAATTAGTAAAAGATGCAAATTTAGTTGGTTCTTGCATATTCTATTATTCCTGATTATGAACAGAAAACTGCTCTTGGGTACCCCATAATTTGAGAAATTAACTGCTGGGTACTTTATATTTTCAAAATATACTCTGAGGTACCTTCTATTTTGAAAAACTAACTGCCGGGTACCTCATTTTTTCAAAATATACTCCGAGGTACCTTCTATTTTGAGAAACTAACTATTGGGTACCTCACATTTTTAAAATATATTCCATGATACCTCCAAATATACATTAATTTTACGCCATTAATTTTAAGAAATAGGGGTTTGGAATTTTAAAAGTAAAATTAATGGTTTGGAATTCCAAACCCCTATTTAATAAAATTAATGGCGTAAAATTAATGTATATTTGGATGTATCCTGGAGTATATTTTAAAAATGTGAGGTACCCAATAGTTAGTTTCTCAAAATAAAAGGTACCTCGGAGTATATTTTTAAAATATGAGGTACCCGGCAGTTAGTTTTTCAAAATAGAAGGTACCTCGGAGTATATTTTGAAAATATAAGGTACCCGGCAGTTAGTTTCTCAAAATATGGGGTACCCAGGAGCAGTTTTCTGGATTATGAATTGGGAAATATTCATATTCATCCAAATTTATCAATCGCCCCCTTTTAGAACAATTAATTCAAATGATTGCTCTAGAACAAACCATTTAAAAGATTGAGATTGATCCACATGGTCTTCAACAATGGAAATTGGAGGCAAATTCATTCGGGAAAAAGACTACATATCACTTCCATGTTTTTATTTTCGAAATAGGAGTTAAAATGCATCTACATCACTAAACATGGTCATGTCCATTACTAAAAAGTATAATAATGTGCACATGTGCAGTGCTACATTACAATCGCATTACCACATTGCAAAGTCCTATTTCTTAAATTAAAATATGGAATTCTTATTTTGGTACTGTTTTTTATGTTTTAGTTCTATTTAGGGTAATTTATATCCATAATATTATAAAAATGTGATATTTTAAAATCCAAAAGAATCTATTGATATTATATTTATATCATAACACAATATGTTTTTACTACGTAATTTTATGGTCAAAGTTAAAAATTGTTGACCAAGTAAAAGCAAACAAGAAAAGAAATAGTCCCTTCTGTTCTAAAAACTCTTATTATTTTGACTTTTTTGCCAAACAGTGGCATTTATTAACTACAAATTAAATATAATCTAAATAATTAAATGCTATAAAAGTTTGATATATCAAATTATATCTTAAGATGAACCCAATTATATTAAATTTATATTATAATTTAATATATTTTTCTCGATCATAATTAATGATCAAAGTGTGTTACTATTTGATAAAAATAGTCAAGATAAGAAATTTTTTTAGGACAAGTATGAGACCGGGTGAATATACATAGTACTTACTACTTCGTACAATATTTGATTGATTATAGTATAAGTAAAATTATCTATCATTGTAATTTAACTTATCTATCACTTCTTATTAGATATAACCCGGCCCATCGAACTTAATGTAGACCTAGAATTTGCCCAAGTGATTTTACAGCATGGATCAACAATATTTGACTATTCACAGTAATCGGACCTTCCCAAATCCTATACATGAATTATGAATATATTGGATATATGTTTGATTTATGAAATCGATTTCTAGCATTATATATACACAGAAAATTATTCTAGTTATCCTCGGTTTTTTGATAGGAATTCTCAGGTCTTACCTTATTGAAAATATACTCCGAAAATAATTAAAATTCACGGTAATGTATTCTGAGGGTACATTGCATCCATTAGTCGTCAGGATTGAAAACTCCATTATTTTGACCAATGAAACACCAAAAAGTTTGCTCAATTGTACCTCATGTTTTTTAGCTAAGAACTTGTAAGTCCCATATAATTCAATTTTACTTATAATAATAATAAGTACTCTGTATTTTATTAAAATTTAATAAAATCTTTTATTCCCTCCGTCCCACAAAACTGTTTCCCATTCTTTTTTCATCCGTTCCAAAAAACAATTCTCTTTTCCTATTAAAAAATCACTTTTACTCATATTAATTCTTAACCTACATATCACATCACACTTTTTCTCTATCAATTTACTCATCTCATCTTACTTTATCCATTACATCAAAAGACATTTTTGAAAAATTAATACCAAAATACACTTCCCTTAAATCCTTTAAAAGTCAAAATGATGAGAAGTTTTTTAAGGGACAAAGGGAGTAATTTTTAAGTTAAATAATTACATACTTCCTCTGTTCCCATAGCCCTTTTTTTGTCCACAATAGATCTTCTCATTTCATTTTTTAACAAATAAAATATCACAACTACCTCCACTTACTTTATTTATTACACCGCACCCACCTCATTTAATACACTCCACCCATTTTCATTAAGGGTATTATGGTAAACATTCACATTTTTTCAACTCTCCTTAAAAACCACCAAAAGTCAAAATGAGAATATCTTAGGGGGACAAAGGGAGTATTATCTTAGTAGCTATCGAAAAACCAATTACCTTATTTACATTTTCATTAAAAAAATAATATTTAAAAAAAAATCCCCCTTCTAATTCTTTGCTTCTCTCCATCAATCATTCATGGTATAAACTTGTGTATTTAACACACAAAAAATGAATATAGTCAAATGTAGCAATTCAATAACCAAATGAGAAATATCTTAGCTTGGAGGTGAGAGTATATATATGTATGTACCTTTTTCCATATATGTGGAAGCAGAAGCGGAGCGGAGACGTGGAAAGATTGGACGGACGAGGCAGAAACATACTCCTGTTTCCTGCATTGCTTTCTGTAGTCAACGGACTTGTTATAGGTGCTCACGGTCACGGCCAAGCCATCTCCCGCGTCGTTAAGTACCCGATCCAAGTAATAAACAATGGGCCTCTTGCACGAGTACTCCAGGCTCAAGGTCCGGGTGTTGAAGGTGAAGGGACCCTGGCTCCATGACTTCCACGTTAGGAAAGTCTGTAACGGCGTCACCAATTCCTTGGCGGCCTTAGAGAATGTGGCTGCTGGGTAGAGCTGGACTGTGTAGCCCCACGAAATCGAAACCGTCCATTTCCTCTTGAGGTCGTAACAGAAAGTTTGTTGCAGTGTTCGGGCCGGGTCGACTTTGTAGGCCTCCAATAGCTTCTTCACCGATTGTTCCCGGCTAGCGTGTGGGAACAATGGGGCTACGTAGTCTATGTGGTGCAGTGACACCAATGGTGCCACCGGGTGTGCCGCTAGCAATCCGTACGCGTTTCCCCGTATGTCCAACTTCCATTCATTTCAAACAAACAAAACTCATCAGTCGTTTCAAAAAAATTGAGGGATGCTACCAAAAGTGTACCCTAAATGTACACCAATCATTTTTCTACCACTCATTTTTTTTATTTATCTCTTGTTTAATTTATATGCCAATATATGTGGCATTATAGGGGTAGTGTACATTTAGGGTATACTTTTGGTGTACCCCTAGCATTTTTCAAAAAATTTCTCTCTTCTTCTTTTCAATCATATTTCCCAAAAAAATTGCTCTCTACTTTTCTTACAGTTGTGAAAATAATTTTCCAAAGCAGCACAATTGTCGATTTTTTTTTAAAATTATCAAAATTTTTTAGTTTTTTCAAAAATTTTAAAATTTTCACAATTTTGATTTTTTACAACTTGTCGTACTATTCTAATTTCTTTTGAATGCTAGTTTTACTTTTTTTTAAAAGTGAAATTTGCACTAAATAGGACTAAAACATAAGTCATTTCCCAATGTAAGATTTAAACTTTTTTTCCTAAATAGGACTTAATAATGTCTAGTGGGAGGAATAATGTTCAGTGATGGTAAACATTTACTTGAATAATGACTAATGGATAATGACTCAAGATCCTACATTGAAAAATAAAAAATATATGATCCTGTTTTAAGAAAGTCATTATTTTTAGTCCTATTTAGATAATTATTCTTTTTTAAAATGTTGTATTTCTCCCTACTTTCTCAACCTAATGACATTTTAAATCGAACATAGGTGAACTTTACTATGAATCTTTGAGAGTGAGCTTAGCTTTCTACCACTCAAGTAAAGAGAATTCATTTGAAATATTCTCATCTTTTTAATTATTTACGCAAAATAAGCAATTACTATTCAAAATCGTTAGGAAACTCTTAGGGGGTTAACGGTGACCGAAAACTCGCACACCCCATCAAAGGTTGGCTTATTGCACATCACAATGAAAACTGAGCTTATTTTTAGAAAATCGCTCAAAGTTGATATTATTTGAGATATATAGTTAGTACTTTGTATTATAAAATTTTTAATGAGAAGTACCACTTAAAATTAATCTAATTATATTAAATTTAATTATATTTTTACAGAAAAACAATTTTTTCACCTTAAAATTGATAGAGTTAGATATAAAAAAAAGTCAACGAGGAAGTAAATGCGAGTCTCCGTGAATTAATCACCTGATGGAAGCCGGGTTCTCTGGTGAGTGGAACACCAATCTCATTCACACACCCGCCGATCTTCTGGTCGGATCCATACGCCGACGAGTACCGGTCAATGCAGCCGTCCAATATCTCCACCAGCGCCGCCGCTAGCGGGTAGCTGACAGCGAAGCCAGCGCCGCCGTACGCCATCGTGTACGAGTGCACCTCGTCCTGCTCCACGCTCTCCGACACGCTCCCCACGTAGTACATCTGGTTGTGGTCGTACTTCGACAGCACCGCCGCCACGTTCTCCGGGAAGAACACGGTGTCGTCGTCCCCCATCACGAACCACCGCACGTTCTCCTCCCCGAGCTCGAAGCTCTCCTTCACGACCCGCGCGATCCGAACCGCGGCCCGCGACCCGTACCAGCACGTGTACCGGAGCCCAGACGTGTTCGCGGAGACGCGGTACGGAGGGGAGCTTTCGGGCCACTTCTGCGGGGCCCGGTCGAGCCAGACGAAGCCACGTATGGCGGCTTCTGGCTTCCACCAGGCCTCGCAGTAGCGCCGGCGGGTGCCCCACGTCTTGAGGGACCCGCTGATGCCGAAGAGAATGTGGGAAACGCGGGTGGCGTTGTTCGGGTCCTCGGATTCCAGCCGCCGTACGCCGCTAGCGGGGTACTCTGCGGTGGAAGTCCATTTGGAGAAGGCGGAGAAGGAGAAGAGAGAGACTGAAGCCACCAGACATATCGCCAGGAAACCCTTCACGACGACGACGTTTGTGATGAGTTTATGGTTTGGGAAGATAGTGACGACGTGTTTCCACGGTGTTAGGCGGCCGTCGTGGATGCAACAGAGTTGGAGTGGCTGAGACATTCTTTCTTCTTCTTCTTTTTTTGTGGATTTAATTTGTTGGGAGGATTGATTGAGATTCCTGCTGGAAGAGATGGACAGGGTAGACTGATTGTGGGAAGTTTCAAGTCTTTCTCCGGGGAAATTATGCAAGAGAAATTTATTTAAATAAGACTAAAACATAATGACTTTCCTAATATAGGACCATATGTTTTTATTTTCCAATATAGGACCTTTGGTTATTATCAAGTAGTCATTATTCAACTAAATGTCCATCATTACTGGACATTATTCCTTCCACTAGGTCATTATTAAGTCCTATTTAGGGAATAAAAAAGTTCAAGTCCTACATTTGGAAAGTTATTATGTTTTAGTCCTATTTAGTGCAAATTTCACATTATGCAATGTGATCATACTCCGTAACACCTTTTCAATATTCACTTAAATACTACCTCTCTAACTATTAATTTAGACTTTGACTTTTTTAGTTAATTATTTTTAACCTCAGACTTATCATTAAATAAAATATATATTGTATATTAATTAGATAATGTAATATTTTGAAAATATTTTATACAATAAATCTAATAAAACTAATTTTGCATCAATATGTAGTATTATTTTTATTTAATTTGAGGTTAAAATTTACTAATTTTGACTGAAAAATCAAAAGTGAATAAATACTCAGAACGGAAGGAGTAGGAGTTATGCAAAATAATGTACTTTCTATTCAATTGGGTATAATAATCTTATAATTTAATTTTTTAAGTTTTTAACTCAATTGTATGAAAAAGAAATAATTTCTTTCATGTATTTATAATGAAAATAGAAAAAATGCATGGCTAACGGCAAAGTTAAATGCTTGACCAACCACGTAACACTAATGTGACTTGAAATACTATTCATAGAATTTTCGAAATTGAGAAACTAAGTGTACATAATGCAATAAATTGAAGAACCCATGGTGCATTCAACTTAACCTTTATTAAAGAAAAATTTGTATTTTTAACTCGAGTATGGGGTATTTGATTTCTCTTTTACATGTGTACTTTGTGTTTTTACTTTTTACCTAATTTGTTTTTAAGAATATCATTAAAACGGAAAGAAACCATAGTACTTAACTACATATCCCCAAAACACAAGAATATAATAAGACTATTATATTGTAATAATATGATAACAATTTAGCATTTCACAATGTTATTTGATATTATATGATGTAATTATTAGAAGAATAAAATCATAAATATCTTATTTTGATTCTTTTTTTATGCTTTACTTTTATTTCAATCTTTCACCCAATATGTTTTATGAGGACTGATTTTTAAGAAATTAAAAACTCGAGACAAGCAGAATTTAATGTAAATAAAAATTATGAGGACTGATCTTTCACCCAATAGTCACTTCTTACTTTTTCATTTACTAGGTTGTAAATAAAAATTGGAGGACTAATTTTTAGTTACAACCTAGTAAAAATTTGAATGAGAGAGTTCTCACTTCTTACTTTTTCATTTACGCAATCGTACATAGAAATTAATGTAAGAAGATTGTGATGAGAAAAATCATAGTGTGGAGGGGAGCTTGGAAGATATGTGACAATGAAGATATATATAGGTGCAAAGATAATAATTAACCAATAAAGTAAAAAAAGGTGCGGAGATGATGCAAGTTGCAAAAAACAAATAAGATGGAGACTCGAGTACAACCACATAAAAAAGAAATACAATTTCCAATTTATAAATATTTGTATTTTGGCAAATATTTTGTATGGACTAGAATGCTATCAGAAGTTTATTTGAATGCTTTTGCATTAAAAATATTTAAAAAAAAGAATAAAAATAGTCAAGTATTTTTGTAAATTTTCCTTCAAGAACTCAACCAAAATAAAACTGAGATACCCCAAATAGTACTATTGCAATGTAAAAATGAAGAACTACATATATGCATTTCATTGTTATTGATATTATACGTTGGTACCCTTGGCATTCTTATATTATTGGAGACAAAAAGATGAATGTTCTATTTTAATTTTTTGCCCTATGTTTTACTCATATACTATGTACTAATCTTAGCTTTCTCCCTTTTCCTTCAGAATCATCAGAGCACTAAACATTTTTTATATTTATATTTTTAATTTAATAGGGGGGAAAGAATCATTGTATTTTAATTTTTTTAAACTAATATTTTCAATCACAGAATCATATAGTCGCTAATACAAAATTTATTTTTTAATAAGACAAGAGAAAATAACAATTTTCGTAATCAATGTGGTGGAGGAATCATTTTTTCACTAATCTAAATTAGTGAATCTAAATTAGTGTAGGGGAGAATAATCATGTTTTTTAAATCGTAGAATCAAAAGATCAGTAACTCAAAAATTTCAAAACTAATGAGGGAAGAAAGAATTATAAGATAACTTTGTATTGATTTTTTAAAAATTTATGCAAGCAAAAGAATTATAAATTTTAAAAATTTAGTAAACCTAGATCATTTATATTTGATATTTAAATTATATGCCCTATACAAAAGTCAAGATACTTTAACAATTCACATTGTAGGATCAGAAACAGTTTCATGTCACCCTATATACGGATTAAAATACAGTCTAATATATATAGGGCTTGCCTGCATGCATACAGGTGACATTATAGTGTAATACTTCCTCCGTCCTAAAATTAACTTCCCAGTTTGACTTTTGTAGTCAAACTTTTTAAACTTTGACCGTATATTATGGAAAAAATACATTGAATTTTCATATAAATTTATTAGCAATAAATTCATTTTGAGACATAGTTTTGAAATATATAATTTTTATAAAATATATTTATATAAAAATTGATATATTGATGGTCAAAATGTCGCATTGGAGATCATGAAAAGTCAAATGGGATGTTAATTTTAGGACTGAGATAGTATATAGAGGGCTTGCGTGGATACACATGACATTATAGTAAGATGAAGTCACTGTGAGCAATCCATATTCTACAAAAATGTCACTTTGCTTTTAGAAGGCTAATTGGTAAAATTATGTTTCAAAAAAAAGTAAAATTAATGTTTGTGGTCATGAAAGACCGGTCCAACACGACCGGTTTACATCTTGCCCGGTAGCATACTAGCATCGGCAACAATTGCTAAAGGAAAAGTCAACGTAATAAGAGCTAGTGTTTGTATAAAATATTTTATATATTCTCTTCATCTTAAAATTAATTTCTCATTTGATTTTTTATGTCTACCAATAAGACATTTTGACTATCAATATCTTTATTTATATATAAGTATATATTACAAAAGTAAAATATTTCAAAATTATGTTTCAAATGAATTTATTGATATTAAATTTATATACAAATTCAATTTATTTTTCCGTAATATACCGTAAAAGTTTAAAAAGTTTGACCAAGAAAGTCAAATTGAGAAGTTAATTTTAGGACAAAGGGGATAATCAATTGTCCAACTTTGATTTTTTTTAGTTAACCATTTTTAACTTTTGACCTATTGTATACTTGGTCCGTCCCTGAGTGTTTGTCCACTTTTGACTTTTGGAACTGTTGCACTTTGACTCATCAAATTCTCTCAATGTGTAAGCCAAAAAATAGTCATGTGTGATCTTATTTGATTCGTCTTAACATATAGATTATTAATATATAATTTTTATAATTTTTTAATATACAAATTACAAGATAAAATGGATTAAAGAAGTGCATTGGATGGTGTGCAAAAATGAAAGTGGACAAACACTCAGAGACGGAGGGAGTATTAATTAGATAAAATAATATTTTGAAAATATTTTATATAATAAATCAAATAAAACTATTTTTATATAAATATCTAATATTATTTTTATTTAATTTGGTGTAAAATGTATTAATTTTGATAAAAAAAGTAAAAGTAGATAAATACTCCGAGATAGAGGACGGGAGGAGTATATGGATACATTTTTTCCATTTTTCTCGTTTAATTGTCTGCAGCGTGGTTGGACTTCGGACTCTGGCGTGGCTTTCAAACCAGTCAAGGCGTCTTTAATAATATTGGGCCATTTAATCACGGCGTAATGTTTGGCATTGTTTTGATCCGGGTACTTTTAAGATCTCTTTGCCCTTCACCAAAAGGCACATTCCATTTAACGTGCAAAATTATCATTTTTTAAATAATTTTATTTAGAATTAGTATTGAAAGTTACATATTTAAAAAACAGGTTAACACTATTATAAAATAAAATATGAAAGAATTATTTATTTTATGTGATGGGAAATAATACGTGACTCGATCCACATTTTCAATTATTTACAAATAACAACCAAACTAGGCATGTTTAATAAAATGGAATAATAAGAGAATATTCTCTGAATATGCTGCCCTCCAGCCCTATAGAAAGAGGGTTTGCCCTCAATGTTGAAGAGGCCAATCACTCTCCTTCCCTACCCATTACTCTTTCTTTCTCTAGAATTCTTGTATTTTTGTTCTTCAATAAACTTTTAAGCTTCCATTAATGGCTTCCGAGCCCAAATCATGTACCGTATACAACCCCATGATATTAATAAAAATCCCTCGTTGGCAAGATACTGCCAAAAAAGGCCGTGGTTTCCTCCCGATTGGGTTTCCACGTTAAAGTCCCCGTGTTTGTATTTTAATGTATTTTGTTAGACTAGTTTATCGTTCTTTTCCGGCTAAGAACGATATGCGGGTCGAGATAATTTACACCATTACTATGTAAGTTATCAATTTTACTATGAAAATATATAAATCAATAAAAGTTATCGAGAAACGTAAATAGTAAATGTATTGTTTGGCATGGGATGGAGGGACCCAGAAGTTATAAGAAGTGGAGTCACAATTCAATTTGATAGTTTAGACTCATTCATAATTTTAAAACTAAAATTAATATATTCACAATTTTAAAAAAGTTAAAAATGAGATTCAAACCTTAAGCCCAAAGCTTTTGAAATATTATTTTTTATAATATTAATATTTAAAGTTTGAAATATTGTTTTTTATAATATTAATTTTTAAATTTTTTACTAAAGATCGTAAAAAGTGAAATACAAAAAAAATGTTTTTTAGCGCAAGGAATATTACATGTGTGCTACTTTAAGAAAGAAGAAAATAAAGATAATTCAAAAATCAAAACAGTGGAAGAAAAAAGAAATGTGATGTAAACCTAGCTCCCAATGCATGGTACAATTACCCAT